GTTTAGGGTTTAGGGTTTAGGGTTTACAGGGAGCCAGCGAGCCCCTGCTGGTGGCTTGTGGGGGACTCTCAGCTACTGCAGCACTGAAGGGCCCTCTAGTCTTCAGCAAGCAGCTAGTTGAAGCAGCAAACTTCTAACCCTACCAAACCCTAAACCCTAAACCCTAAACCCTAGGCTCTGCAGCAGAAGCGGCCAAGGGGGCCCCTTGCGAGTGTTTTGCTGCTGGCATTTTTAAATTTGTGTCTTTGTTTTTTTTAATATATTTTGCTGTTTTAAGTCAAATTAATTCCCTCAAAGTTTTAATGAATCCAAATTGAAGAACTTTTGAAACAAATTAATAAACAAAAAGCTGCTGGCTAGCTAGCTAGCTGCCCACTGAAGGCCTGCAGCTTCCCAGCTAGCTAACGACACAGCCAACTAGCCAGCTAGCTAGCTAGATAATTAGCCAGCTAGCCAGCTATCTAGTTAGCTAGCTAGCTAGCTAGTTAATTAGCTAGCCAGCAAGATATCTAGCTAGCTAGGTAACTAGCTAGCCAACTATCTAGTTAGCTACACAGCTAGCTAGGTGGCTAGCTAGCTAGCCAGATACCTAGCTAGCTAGCTAGCTAGCTGGCTAGCTGGCTGTGTCGTTAGCTAGCTGGGAAGCTGCAGGCCTTCAGTGGGCAGCTAGCTAGCTAGCCACCAGCTTTCGAAGCATTCAGCTGCAGCAGTAGCTGCAGCAGCAGCAGCAGCAGCAGCAGTAGCAGCAGCATTAGCAGCAGGATTACCAACAAAAAGAATAAAAATAAATAAATAAGAAATATGTATAATTCTCTTTTATTTTAGCAATGACACATTAAAAAGGGCTGTTTATTTCTTTACATATGTAAATGAAAAGCAGCAAGAAAGGGAAAAGCGAGGCAACAAAAGAGAAGAAATAAAACAAAAGAAGATCTGAGAAAAGATTTGAAGTTTTATTTTGCTGCGGTGTATCATCTGCTTGAGCTGTACAGACAGCTGGTATTTCTCGCCTTTAAAAGTGGGAAAAGACAAAAGTGTTGAAACGGGTTTTTTGAGAGTTAAAAGAGATAAAAGGGTTTTAATTGATGAAATCGGTTAATTTAATATTAATTAATTAATTTAATTCAAATTCAAAACCTTTTTTTCCACTTTTTGGTCCTTTTTGCTCGCAATTCAACTTCAAGGCAGGACTCTCTTTCTCCACAGCTGCGTGGGAGCCTGGGGGTGCACGTAAATCCGTGCAAGGGGGGGAAAGTTGCGGAAATTGCGTTTTTTAGATTTAAAAAAATTGAATTTAAAAAACTGAAAATAAAAAATGATTTAAAGCGATTTTAGAGGAAAGATTGCGCTGGAGATATAGAAGAAGCTGCTGCGCAGTCGCAATGGCGCTGCTCGCGCCTCCCCCGCAGTGCCTTTTGCTGCAGTCTGTTGCTGCGCAGTCGAAATGAATACTCCGCAATCAAAACCTCTTTTGAAATAATTAAAAAATAAACAAAAGTGTTATTTCAAGTCTCTTTTGCCTTTTTGCCGCCGCCGCCGTTTTAGACCAGTAAGCCGCGCGGTGTGCATACACCCGAACGCGTTGAAGCGTCTGCAGCTTTCCCGCGGATGGTTTTGAATTGTTTCAGCGAAATAAAAGAAAAAAAGGCATAAAAAACTAAATTAATTTGCTTTTTAGCTTTGAATGGGGGTAGATTGGTGCATCAGAGGCCTGAGGTTCCATCGCAGCTTTCTTGCGAGAGGCTATTGGCGGCCCGGGCATCAGAAACCGAGTGGAAAGAGAAGCTACTTCGCACGAAAGCGGAATTTTGGATTTTAATTTATTTTTGAATTTGTTTTCCGCTTTTTTCAGTGGCGCGTGAGTTCGAGACCCGGCTGTTCATCGGCGGCGAGTTTCGGGAACCCCGAGGCAGCAAGACCTGGACTTTGATAAATCCGGCGACAGAAGAAGTCACCTGTGAAATCCGAGAAGCCAGGCGAGTCCCCAGTGGTCCAGTGGCCCATTTCTTTCCCTTTCCGGGCCTCGAAAAAGGTCCATTAGTGGTGCTGGCTGTTGCGCGTTTTCCGGGTTTCTGGGGTGTACGTACACCCGGGCGGCGGCGGTGACCAGTGGTCCATTTTTTTCGTTTTTTTCGATTTTGGGGTCTCCGGAGGCCGCGAGTCCCGCGCCGCTGCCTCCCGACGCTCAACTGCTGCCAGTTGTTCAACTAATTGCATTTGTTTGGTCCTTTTGAAGTGCTTTTCAGCGAAGAAGACGTCGACGAGGCTGTGCGCTGCGCCCACGAGGCCTTCCCCTCCTGGGCCCTGGGCGTCGGCGCCCGCAGGCGCGGAGACCTCATGCTGCGGCTTGCGGATTTGCTGCAGCAGCAAAAAGAAGAAATTGCGGAAATCGAATGCATCAACGTCGGCAAGCCCATTCAATACGCCAGGTCCCTGCTGCTGCTGCTGCTGCTGCTGCTGCTGCTGCTGCTGCTGCTGCTGCTGCTGCTGCTGCTGCTGCTGCTGCTGCTGCTGAGGCGCCCACGCCGCCTGCGTCCGTTCGCCCGAGTTTTTCGCGAATCCCCGCAGCAAAAAGAAGGCAAACGAGCAAACAAACAAACAAATGAATCAACTGGCCAAGTAATGAATTAATTAACCAATTGATCAACGAATTGACTAATTTATCAACTAATATTTGCTTCAGAGCGGACGTGGACACCTGCATTGCGAACCTCCGCTACTACGCGGGCTGGGCCGACAAAATAAGGGGCGGCGCTTACATTCCAGTTCTCGACAAAAATAAAATCTCCTGCCACACTCGCAGAGAACCCGTCGGAGTCGTCGCCGCCGTGAGCTGTACATACACCCCACTTGCATGCGCTCGCCAGCTGTACAGACACCCCACATGCGTGCGCTCACGAGCTGCACATACACCCGAGCTGCGCATACACCCGAGCTGCACATACACCCGAGCTGCACATACACCCGAGCTGCACATACACCCGAGCTGCACATACACCCGAGCTGCACATACACCCGAGCTGTACATACACGCGACCCCTCCGCACATCCACCAGAGCCACGCAAACCCCGCTGCTGCTGCCGCTGCTGCCGCCGCTGCTGCTGCCGCTGCTGCTGCTGCTGCTGCTGCTGCTGCTGCTGCTGCTGCAGATAGTTCCTTGGAACTTCCCCCTGATGCTGCTGGTGCTGAAGGCGGCGCCCGCGTTGGCCTGCGGCTGCACTTTGGTGGTCAAAACCAGCGAGAAATCGCCGCTGTCTGCTCTTGCTTTTTGCAAACTTGTTCAAAAAGCTGTAATTCTTTTATTTTTTATTCATTTGTTTGTTTATTTGTTTTTATTCATGTATTTGTTTGTTTATTTATTATTTATTGATTTATTTGTTGTTTGCTTTTTGTTTGGTGTTTGTTTGATGTTTGGTTGTTGAGCTGAAGTCGCCGCTGTCTGCTCTTGCTTTTTGCAAACTTGTTCGAAAAGCTGTAATTTTTATTTACTTGTTGTTAGTTTATCATTTGTTTTTATTATTTATTTGTTACTTATTTGTTTGTTTTTATTTCTTTTGGCCTTTATTGGATTGCTTCTGTTCGCCAGAAATGCACTTCGACGTGCTGCGTTCTGCTGTTCCGCCGCACTCCTCAAGCTGCTGCTGCTGCTGCTGCTGCTGCTGCTGCTGCTTCGCCGCCTCCCCGCCAGCTGCTGCTGCTGCTGCTGCATCGAGGGCGCGTAGTAGTCCGTGTGTGTGCCTTCCCGGGCGCCGCTTTCCGCCTCGCCCTACCGCCCCCTCCCCCCGCCGCCGCCGCTGCTGCTGCTGCTGCTGCTGCTGCTGCTGCTGCTGCTGCTGCTGCTGCTGCTGCTGCAGGGCTTCCCCGGGGGCGTGCTGAACGTGGTGAGCGGGTGGGGCCCCAGCGTGGGGGCCCCCCTCGTGCGGCACCCGCTGGTGGGCAAAGTGTCCTTCACGGGGTCTTCGGCTGTGGGCCGCCGCGTGGCTGAAGAAGCAGCAGCAAAAGTGAAAAGAGTGACTTTGGAGTTGGGAGGCAAAAGCCCTTTGGTGGTTTTGAAGGACGCGGACCTGCAGCGCGCCGCCGAGGCCGCCTGGAAGGGGCTTTTCACCAACTCAGGCGCGAGGGTTTAGGGTTTAGGGTTTAGGGTTTGGGTTGGGGTTGGGCTAGGGTTTGGGGTTTGGGGTTTGGGGTGGGGTTGCGAGGGGGGTTAAGGCTTTTGCGGGGAGGTTTGCGGTGGAGAGATTTGCGGCAGAGGGGTGTTTTTCCGACGGAAAACGAGCAGC